GAGAGAGAGAGAGTGAGTAACATTATGGAAGTTAATTAAATTTGTCGGCATTTTCTCGAGCATTATAAATATCGTTTGACGATGTTCGATGAATATTTTCATGTCCCTTATAATGATCGTCCACTCTACAAGCCGCAGGAACGTTTTTATGGAAATATTCTCTCTCACGTGTAAACGTCGCTTTTTATCAAACGTATGCACAAAAAAAAAACAGGAAAGATACGTGAAGCACGAGATCTGAGTCAGTAGATATGACGTACAGGAATAATTAACGCTAACGTAACCGAGATAAGAGAATAGGAAGATATATATGTCGAGTACGACGATAGCGATGCTTCTGCACGAGCCGCGCCACGTACGACGCCTGTGCTTTTTTACTTGCAAGCAATTATGGACAAAAAGAAGGAAGGGGAGAGGAGGGGAAAGGCAAGATCCGCTAAATCGTCAGCTGTTGCCAGCGGGAGAATGGGTGGGCTGTGTTGTGTTGTTCCGATCTGTTCCGTTATTTTTGGCCCGCACCAGCTCGTGTTACGTAGGTGGCAATTAGTACAATTTGGCGCGTCACGGTGGCCCATTGTTCGTGCTTTTTTTCCCATGTCGTGTCCGAGCCCACGCGAGCGCGCCCATGTCGACGGATAATGGAGCGGTCACGTAGACAATGACGATTTTCATCAAGAGAGCATTACGTGACGAGGCGCGTTATTACATCGCGCAAGTCTACGAAATTCGGCGGCTGTTTAAACCGCCGAGGTGCAATAATAGCGCCCGCCAGAAATACACCACCTCCGCCGTACATTCCGAGCGTCTCTTTCTCCGGAAAAAACGACGCGTCGTCTCTACGAAGGGACGAATTCGCGAATTGTCCGAAATCAAATTACCTGGAATTAATATTATTATTTACCTTCCCTCGCGCAAGCTGCGGTCATATTTACGAATCTAAAAAAAAAGAAAATAATTTTAATTAATTGTAATTAGTTTTCAATTAGTTTCAATTGGTTTTAAATAAGAGAGCCCTGAAAGTTAAATTTGATAATCTTCGCAGTACGAAGATATTTTTGACATTGTCAAAGCTGCGCGCGAGGTTCTTGCATATCGTTATCTCTGCGAAAATTACGGAAGTGAAACGCGCGTGAAAGATCAAGTCCTAAGATCAACGCGAGAATTCGGAAGGTTGGAGAGGGTGTTTCCTCGCATTTATTGCATCGCCTCCCTCTGTCCACATGGTCGCGACGCAGGTTTCATGGCGAAGGGGGAGGGGGGGAGGGGAGGGGAGGGCGAAGGACCTGTTCACCGACACCTCTCCCTCAGCGTGCTTATGCACTCAATGTCCGTGTGCCAATTACCAAGTGCGACGAAAACGGCTTATTTATACACATGGACGTGGTCGCGAAAATCGTCGAGGAGAACAATCCCCCGCATCGTTCCGTACCTTGTTGTACATATGTATGCACGTGCCGACGAGGAATGTACCTTTTTTCCATACCACGTTTTTGCCTCACGTTAACACCCTCTTACCTTGCTCGATCACGTCTCGCTGTTGCTGCCGCTGACAATGCTATTGCAAGAATGGCCGATTCACAGCTGATGTGCGACCTGTCATGCTGGCGATCTTTGAGATTTTAATTCGCGCGTGCGACATGCCCAGAGATAGCCTCGTGTAACGACGTGTAAAACACATTTACATATTTCGTATTTCTGATCTCGCGTTTGAACGGTCATACGTATGCGTGTACGTAAACGCAAATTCGCGAGATAAGTAATCGTACTTTAACTTGAACGGCGTCAAATTGAATTTCAAGAACGCTAGCGTGTCGTCCGCAGCTTTAATATGTTGCGTAAATTCTAGTTCTGTATTTACGGACGCGTTAACGGCGATCGAAACTGATGGATTTCTTGTGTTGTGTAGGGCAAGTTTTTCTATTGTACCGATGCATCGAAAATGACGAATGCGACGTGCCAGTAAGTTATGATTATGTTTATAAATTAATAAAAGAAATATATTGAAAATATTCATATTATATATTGAAAATTCAATTATGTATTAAATTTAACTTTAGATATATTACACTTATTTTTATTTTTAATAAAAAAAATCTTGAAAAAAATTAGATTTTTCTAGATCGCATTTAAAAGTAATACAAAAAATTACATAAATAATCTTGAATACTTAAAGTATTTATATAAAAAAAAATAAGCTTTTTGTCATTATTTCTTAATTATATTTCTTATTTACATTAGAGCACACTTCTACTTATTTATTTAAATAATTTTCAGATTCTAAACCGTTGTTAAATCTTTGTATTATTTTTAAATGCAATTTAATCTGTAATAATCTGTAAATTTTTCATAATTTTTTTCATTGTATATAAAAATTATAGAAACACATAATACATCCTTAATTTGAATTTTAAGAAGTGCGATACAAATTATGAATATTCAAAATTTTTAGTAGCCTTGCATGTAATAATAATCTGCTGACGATAGAATGTGCAATTTAAAAATATAATTGAAAAAAATATATATTTGATAAAAGGACAATTTTTCTAACGAAAATTCTCAGTAACTTAATCGAACAGATCACTTGAATACGGTACAAGAAACTCTCTTTTCCAGGGGTACTTATTTGGAATTCGAGGACGGTAATATTAACAGGCCGGTTGTAAAACAGAGAGAATGGCAGCAGCAACGTTTTCATTTCGATAACGTTGCTAAGGCAATGTTGACTCTCTTCACGGTCTCGACTTTCGAAGGTTGGCCATCGTAAGTACATTTTGTATTGCATTAGCAACGAATATTGTTCCGAGATTTCTAATGGGATTTCTAGTGGGTCATTAAATGCAGCACAGAAGGTTACTTATGCAAACTTTGCTTTTACAGCAATTTCAATGTCGGTACAACAAAGTTTTCATTGGGAACTTGCTTCTTATATTTTTCTCCTTTCTCGTTACTTTCTCGAATCTTTATTTCTACTGTTCTTTGTGTCGACCAGCATTTTATCCTTTGTAAATCATTTCAATAAACGCACGATTCTGCTAGATAACGAGATGTTAGCGGAATAAATAGATATTGTTTCTCTATGCAAGATATCGGATTAACGTTGCTTCTGTTTAATAGACTGTTAGAATGGTCAATCGACTCGAACCAAGAGGATCATGGACCAATTCATAACTTTCGGCCGATAGTGGCCGCCTACTACATCATCTACATTATCATCATCGCGTTCTTCATGGTGAACATCTTCGTCGGTTTCGTTATTGTCACCTTCCAGAACGAGGGAGAGCAAGAGTACAAAAATTGCGAGCTCGATAAAAATCAGGTGAATTGTCGCACGAATTAGTAGCTTAGCTATTACGATTAAATTATAATAGTATTATTGATAACGAGACCATGACCCCAAGGATATTTTTATCTTTCAATTAAGTTGAGATTATTTTAGAATAAGAAAGCTTTAGAAAACACATTACGTATTAAGATTCTTGGTCAATCATCAGTATTATCTGAGATTATTTCATTAGAAATGAGAAAATATACAATAAAAATTCTTGCAGGATATATTAAAATGGAAGTATATTTCAATAAAGCAACATTTACAACTTCTAAATCCTAGAATCCTAGAATCACTTGTAAAAAATACAATAAATTCTCCTTTTCATTAATTAATAAATATCCGTATAAGTTGGAAATAAATTATGCATAAACGAAATAAGCCAAGTTCATAGCTATAACAATTGTCGAATTAAATGATTTAATTTCTCTCTCTAAAACAAAGAAACAGTTTTCGATATATTTTATAAATCTATTTTATTCTATTAATTGCAAATGTTGTTTAATTGAAAAATATTTCTATTTAAGTATATATTTTGCAAGAATTTTTATCGTGTGTTTTCTCATCAATCGGGTGAGTGAATCAGGAGTGCTTTAAACTTAAGTATTTGAGGAAAATGCAGTATCTACTGCACTAGCTTTATGACTGAAATTTAATAGAAAATAATAAACTTAAAAACAAAAATGGGAAATTATATTTTCCTTTGAGAACAAAGGTGGCCAGAACTAAAGGTATCTTGGGGTCACACAAGAATCACGATGTTATGGAGCTAACAATAGCCTTCTTGTGCAGAGAAATTGCATCGAGTTTGCGCTAAAAGCTAAGCCAGTGCGTCGATATATACCAAAGCATCGAATACAGTACAAAGTCTGGTGGTTCGTCACCTCCCAACCGTTCGAGTACACGATATTTACCCTAATTATGATCAATACCGTGACGCTCGCAATGAAGTTCTATCGACAACCAGAGATATACACGGACGCCCTGGACGTTCTCAACATGATCTTCACCGCCGTGTTCGCCCTTGAGTTTGTGTTCAAGCTGGCCGCATTTCGATTTAAGGTGCAAAAATTATCTTTATGTCTTGGTTTATTACGAATTTTTTTCATTTAAAATTTCACTACATTTCACTACCATGTGTACCTTTGTAGCGTTAATTACGCCCGTAAGTGAAGTTCGCCCGTAAGTCGAAGTTATTAATTTGCAGAATTACTTCGGCGATGCGTGGAATGTTTTTGACTTTATTATCGTGCTCGGAAGTTTCATCGATATCGTTTATTCGGAAGTTAACGTGAGTATCCGTTGCGCTCGACTTTGATCGAGCACCCGAGCGAGCAATATTCGCGATTACATTCAAGGGGCGGAAAGTGAAACGGTCAGCGTGAACCATTTTGTCATCCTTGCAGCCTGGATCCAGCATCATTTCCATCAATTTCTTCAGGCTGTTTCGCGTAATGCGATTGGTCAAGCTACTGAGCAGAGGGGAAGGCATTCGAACCCTTTTATGGACGTTTATCAAGTCCTTCCAGGCTCTGCCCTACGTCGCCCTTCTCATCATAATGCTCTTTTTCATTTACGCTGTGATAGGCATGCAGGTAAGCAACGCCGATGGATCGATGGAAAGACGCGCATTTAAAGCGCATAAACGACAATGATTCGAACGAGCGTTTTTTTTTTTCAGGTCTTCGGAAAGATCGCGATAGATGACAACACGGAGATAAATCGCAACAATAACTTCCAGTCCTTTCCGCAAGCCGTGTTAATTCTGTTCAGATCGGCGACAGGTACCACCAATTTTATTTGACTTTCTATTTGACAACCTTAAATATTTATGTTAGAGATGGAAAGTTTAATCGAGTTTTTTTCGGATTAGTTTTCGTTTTAGCAGAAATGTACTACAATAATAACCTTTAACGATATTATTATATGGAAATGCAAGTAACGTGTTGTACAAACAGTCGTCAAGGATAAGCGTATTATCACTGAAAAGAATCATGATCGATCAAATGTTTGCGACCGTAGGTGAGGCGTGGCAAGAAATCATGATGGCTTGTTCAGCGCAACCGCACGTCGTCAAATGCGATCCCATGAGTGACGATTTTCACAAGTTGGACACCTGCGGATCGGACGTTGCATTTCCCTACTTCATATCTTTCTATGTGCTCTGCTCATTTCTCGTAAGTTTATCTATTTTTACTTTCCCTTCGCATTAATTTTGTTATTTGGATTTTTGGAAAATTTAATTGCGCGTACCTCGCGAAAAACAGATCATCAACCTTTTCGTCGCCGTTATCATGGACAACTTCGATTATTTGACGAGAGATTGGTCGATTCTCGGGCCGCACCACTTGGACGAGTTTATTCGCCTGTGGTCCGAGTACGATCCCGATGCCAAGGGGCGCATTAAGCATCTCGACGTGGTAACGTTACTAAGAAAAATATCGCCGCCGTTGGGCTTCGGAAAGTTGTGTCCCCACAGAGTAGCTTGCAAGGTTTGTAAATAAAACTAATAACATAATTATATAATTACAGATCTGTTGATCTATAACAGCGCATCAATTTTATATTTGACACAAGAAATAATATTATTTTCCCATAAATGGCTTGCGTACGTTTATATTTTTATTTTATAATCTATTAATTTTTATTATCTATAAAATTAATTTACTTTCCCGTCGTATCTAATGAGTGACATCGTTTCGTTCGTGTCAGATTCTGGAGAAATTGTTACATCGTATTCAAATTTAATGAACGAACAAAAAGAACTCGAACTGTAAAGTTTAAATTAGCGGAATCGCTCTTTTTTCGCTCTTTTTTTTTTCCCTAATCTCGGGGTTAAAAATTCAGAGACTCGTCTCGATGAACATGCCGCTGAACAGCGACGGCACCGTTTTATTCAACGCGACTTTGTTCGCCGTCGTGAGAACGTCACTGAGAATCAAGACGGAAGGCAACATCGACGACGCGAACGCCGAGCTCAGGGCGGTGATCAAGAAGATCTGGAAGAGGACCAGCCCGAAGCTTTTGGATCAAGTCGTACCACCGCCCGGAGGTAAGCGTTTCCTCCATCGTGAAAAACCATCGTGAAATTTGTTTTCTCTCGCGAAATTAAATTTACACTTGGGATCGATCTGTCCAGTGGACGACGAGGTGACGGTCGGCAAGTTTTATGCGACCTTCCTCATCCAGGATTATTTCCGTCGATTCAAGAAACGCAAGGAACAAGAAATGAAGGATGGTGACAGAGACTGTCACAACACTGTGACCCTTCAGGTGATTTCATTGAAAGTTTAGAAGAAATAGTACTTAGAATTCTAGTGTGGATCATGCTCTCATGCAATATTGTTGGTTAAATGATTTGTGAAAAATCGAATTTGTTAAATCTCGTTAAATAATTATTAAATGTTAAATCTTAATTAAATTTTAAGGCTGGATTGAGAACGTTACACGAAGCTGGCCCCGAATTGAAACGCGCGATTTCTGGTAATTTGGAAGAACTCCTCGATGACAATCCGGAACCTATGCACAGGGTGAGATCATTGTATTTTATATTCGAAAAACTTTTCAAATAATAATAATTTCCATATATACGGCATATAAAATTATTTGACATTTTCAGAGAAATCACTCGCTCTTTGGCAGTGTGTGGTCCAGCATGCGAAAAGGGCACCACGGTTTTCATAGGGCGAAATCGCTGAAAGTTAATTCCGCTGCTGCAAAGGCACGTAATGATTCGATCGCGAAATTCTCCCCTATGAATTAAATTCTGATTAAAAACTTTTTTACAGGCTTCCCCGACCAATTCCATAGATTTTCTACCATATGCCTCGTTACGGAGGACCGCCATCACGGATGCCACTAAACAAATCGCTAACCAACTTGTGCCAAATATAGCAGGGTAATTACTTTAATAATTAATTATTTTAATTAATTTATAGAGTACATGAGCAAAGTTAAAATTAATTTCTCTATGACGCTGTTTTGTACTTTCTAATATCTTTACCAATTATTTCTATTTGCAAAATGTCTGAAATCTTCAAGAAATAATTATATATATATCTTAAAATTTTACGCGTCTATTTTATCATAAATATTAAAATTTAATTTTAATATTGTGATAATCAAAGTATTAAGAGAAAACAAGAGAGAATTAAAGTAATTTCTAACATATAGCAAACTTCGTGATCCAATCATAAAAAAGACATTAAATAAAAAGAATATTTATTCTTAGAAGTTTTCAAATCTCACGACATCTAGAGTGTTGCTACCTTCTCTGGTGCCTTCGACAATTTTACCAAACTGTGTTTAATTATGCCGTATAGCTCCATTAATTAGGACGTTAGTAACGTTAATTAATACCGTCTCGTAAAAAAAAAAAAATGATCGTACAGAGGTCTGAGCGACGGCGCGATGAACCAGATGGGAACCGATTTGCGGCTGACGGGCGTCGAGGAGAACATACCCCTAAGGCCGCTCGCTGCTTTCGGCAATCCGGCGCAGCAGAGCACGTACAAAGTGGTCGAGTAAGTACAAGAAGGCGTACAGAGCGAGCGAGCGAGCGAGCGACAAATTGCAGCGAATATCCCTTTGTTAGATTACTATGTCCTACTACTCGTCCGTGTATAATCGATGGTTATTATTTTCTACGATGATCTCGTTCTCTCTCTCTCT